AAAATTAAGGGCTGGGGCGTTACACAAATCCTAAATAATCTTTATGTCGCTATGGCTATAATAAGCCCAACACTGTAATCAGTGTTGCTGCTAAGTTATTATGTGAAACAAGTGATGTGTGTAATTGCTGCAAGTTCCAGCATATTGGTTTATGTGCCACTGTCTTTCATTGCAAGGTATTCTTTTTGTCTTGGTCTAAAATAAGGGGTTGTGGTCTTCATGGTCTTGATTGCTGTTGTTGGTCAAAACATGAAACAAAAAAGGTTTTAAAGTCCTTTTATTCAGGGAAAAATATGACTGCCATGCCAACTGTTGTTGTCTTTTGCCTTGCTGTTAGCCATGCCATATTTCTGTGTCAAAAAATAAATTTTTTACCAAGTGCAATTGTTGTGCTTAAGCAATTGCAATGCTATGTAAGATATTCGCCTGGAAGTAGGCCTCGGGTGCTGTCCTTCTTATGTAGTTGTGTGTTAGTACAATATCAAATACAGGCTAGATTTTGGATTTCAGTGCAACGGATCATATGATGTATGATAAAACTTTGTCTTAATCTATGACTTATCCTCATAGAAAGTGTGTGGCAACTGCCAATTGTACTACTGCTTCTGTTGTTAGAGCGGTAACAGATTGTCTTACACCCTCTCTCCCCTTATATAATTGTTTATTGGTTCCATCATTGTCCCATTACTTATTGTATGTACTAAAAGTCACTGAACAATCGGATTGTGTTGTATTAATATGTCCTTTATTTTGCTTGTTTCAGGATATTCAGACAAAAGAGATCATTAGGCATGACACTAAGAGAGATGGGCTATATTATGTGGATGACGTGGTTCCTAAAAGAGCTAATTTGGTTCATACGTTGCGTACTAGTAATATACAGAAGGTATTTGTTGCATTGTCGTTGGGGGCATGCAACATTTGGTTATTTGAAGTATATGTTACCTGATTTGTTCAGTGGTATCGAAGACTCAAAATTGAAGTGTGAAGTATGTATTTTAGCCAAAAGTCATCATGCTTAATTCCCAAGTATGAATAGAAGGTCATCTCCGTTTGCGCTAGTACACTATAATGTGTGAGGGCATTCCCTATTAGGGGAATTAAGTGGTTTGTTACTTCATGGATGATTGCACCTGTATGACATGGTTGTATGTGTTGAAAAATAAAAATGAGGTATGTAATGTGTTTCATCTGTTTCTTCAGATGGTTAAAACTCAGTATTCCTCTTATATTGAAGTTTTGCATTCTAACAATGGTGGAGAGTATATAAATTCTGAGTTATCCCTATTTCTAAAAGATTGTGGAATTGTTCATGAAACTACCTATCCGCATTCTCCATAACAAAATGGGATGGCGGAAAGGAAAAATCGTCATATCCTGGAGACAGCTTGCGCTTTGCTTATTGGTGCATCTGTTCCTAAACGTTTATGGCCTAAAGTGATTGTACATGCAGTTTATGTTATGAATCGTATGCCGTCTTGGGTCTAAAATTTTCGAACACCACTTCAGGAGCTTACTCAACTTGTTTTAGTGGTTTCTACAAATTCTTTGTCATCTCGGATCTTTGGTTGTGTGGTTTATGTTCACATTCAGAAAGCTCATCGTAGTAAACTTGATCCATGTGCATACCATTGTGTCTTTCTTGGATTTTCTCTGCATCAGAAGGGATTCAAGTGTTATCATCTTGCTAGTCAATGTACGTTTGTAACCATGGATGTGAATTTCTCAGAGTCTGAATATTTTATACTTCATCTGTATCCAATTCAGATCACCAGGGGGAGATTAGTGATATTGGTAATCTAAGTTTGTTGGAATATACTTCAGGGGGAGAAAGATAAGTTATGGAAGTTAGCTCTGCAGGAGTTTACCGAACCTAATAGCCTAGTTCAGCAAACTCCCATTGAACTAGGTAGCCTAGTTCGGCATGCTGCAATCAAAGAAAACAGTCCAGTTCTGCAGGATCCCATTGAACAATACACCCCAGTTCAACAAGAGTTTGTCGAAATGCCTAGTATGTTCGTAGTACCCCATCTCTCTTTGATCCTGCAGTGCCCGTTCCATCTCCTCTGAATATCCAAGAGGTAAGTATTTTAAATGATAATACAACTAATTCTGATATTGGTGTAAGTACTTATAAATTGTCAGCAAGACAAAATCGTGGTATGCCACTTGACAGGTTTTCTCCGGAAAGGAATGTCAAGTATCTGATTGCTAATTATGTATCATGTGAGCGTTGTTCAATAGAACATAGGGCGCTGATAAATCATTTGGAATCAATAAAAATTCCAACTTTGGTAAAAGAAACCCTTAGAGACCCTAAGTAGACACAAGTGATGAATGAAGAAATGTCAGTATTGCAGAAGAATAAAACTTGGAAGATAGTGCAGTTACCAAAAGGGAAGAAACTTGTTGGCTGTTGTTGGGTGTTTACGATCAAGTACAAGGCTAATGGATCAGTGGATAGGTATAAAGCAAGGTTAATGGCTAAGGGGTATACTCAAACGTATGGTGTAGATTACCAAGAAACCTTTTCTCCGGTAACAAAGATGAATACAGTATGTGTTTTGATTTCCTTAGCTGTAAATATGGATTGGTCTCTTAAACAACTTGTGCCAGTTAATAATGTTTGATTGATTTTTGTGTTTACATAGCTAGAGTAAACTGCTGAACTTTCACTTAACTTTCGATTTCCCCCCTAAACTTTCATTTAGCTTTCTATGTCCCCCTTAAACTTTTCAATTGAAAAATTAAGGACTCAAACAAATTATTTTGGCCAATTTCCCCTTGTTAGTTTTTCATTCATTCCATCCAAATTTCTGTTAAATGGAAGCATGTTCACATGTGAGGGTAGTTCGGTCGTTTCATTCTTTAAAATAATTGAAAGCTTTAGTTTCCTAAAATGTCAACCTATACAAATCTGTGTGATTCTATACTAGCGAAGTGACGCTTTTGTCCTTAAAGGAGAGTCACGTGGTGTGCATGTGATAATAATTTGATTCTTAGTGTTGAATTTTCTTCTGATAATTAAGATCATCTAGCCCCATAGAAAGGAAATATAACAATTTTACGAAGAAAATGTGAAAATTGATAAAGATATAGGAAACACTAAACACATCCAGAAAAAAAAAAAAAAAAAAAAAAAAAAAAAAACCAAAAGAATTAAGAAACTGGAGCATCCAATGTTGACTTTTCCCTTTTCGTTTAGAAGTTATGAACTATGAGAATGCTTCGTTGGATGTATGGACATACGAGAAAAGACAAGATTAGGAATGAGGATATCCAAGGTAAATTAGAAGTAGCCGAGATTGAAGGATAAGATGAGAGAAACTCGATTAAGGTGGTTTTAACATGTGAAACGAAGATCTACATACATTCTAGATAGAAGGTGCAATTACGAGTCAGAGGCTCAGGGCCAAAGTAGCATAGAAAGACCCAAGATGACTTTGAAAAAGACTCTAAGAAAAAACTTGGACTACTTGAATCTAACGGAACACATGACACAAAACTGAGCGCAATGACGTTCTAGGATTCATATAACCAACCCCATATAGAGGGATAAAGATTTGTTGTTGTTGTTGTTCATGAGTTAAAAACGTGGCAGTAATTTGGTCGTTACTGCTCAGCAAGCATGACAGATAAAAAAGTATCGTTTTCTTTCTCTTATGATTTTTTGATTCGACATAGTGGGTTGCTAAAAAAATTCAAATTCCTTTTCTTATTAGCTTTTCTTCTTAATCGTTGTACTTTGAACGTACTATTAGCAGTGCATTTTATTCAGATGTTTCATAGACATTGGTGTTTCATGCATGCAGGGATCTTACAATCTTAAGATGACAATCGAGGATGAATAGAACCAAAAGTTGTCTTGCATCAGTTTTAACTTCAAAATTGTGTTGCAATCTCTTGTGTCTTTGAATTGAGATTTGCCATGTCCGTGTCCTTGTTTTTTGAGGTTTTCCGTGTCGCCTTAACGTTGTATCTGTGTCTATGCAACATAGTCTGCTAGTTGAGCACCCAATGCCTAGTGCTTAGGTTTAGGCATTGTTCTTGATTGGTATGTACCATAAAACCAAATGTGTATATAAAGCGTCTTGGTGTTTTGCTACCTGTAGGGATCGAGTCGAATTCCATTAGTTCTGCATGTATTTTTGCAGAAAATCAAATTAAATTGAGAACATTTTAACTGTACGATTCACATAAAAGAAAACATTGTCATTGGTAAATGCAAGATGATCGACGAAACAATAATCAATGAACAAAGCCACTAGCGGTCTCATGCCATTCGTCTTTGACACTAAATTATATTGGTCGTTGTGTAGGTTTACTCAAATTCCTCTACGCCAAGATCAATATGTTTTTATTTATTTAGCTATATTTTTACACTAATAGGGTGGGGGAATAAATTGGTTGCTAACTCACCATTCGTGACATTCCTATTGAACGTAAAATTTCTCACTTACAAGTGAACAATGACTTAGACTGGAGAACCAAGTGGCCCCAAAATCTATCTTTACTCATATGTGAAATATTATAGGTTTGATTCTTAATAAAATAATGATACCAAATTATAATTAGTTTAGGGAATTGTTATTGGCACTCTAAAAATCTCATTCTACCTTCAAATTTTCTATATTTGGAAAGAAAAATACACTTGTGAAGAGTGTAGAATAAGATTTTGGAGTGCCAATAACACTTCTCTTAGTTTTTTGTGGGACTTAAACTCAAATCTATGAACCCCAAGATTGTTGTTTTAGAAAGCATGGCAAAATAATATGGAAGTAGAAAGCCGAAGCCACTGAACCGGACCTGATACAAACCGTTGTCGCCCTCCTCTTTGGATCCTCTTTGTGAGGATTTCAGGAATCACTTCATCATCTTCGTTTATCTTATATCGTGTGGTCAATTTTTATCAGGTACTTTTTGTGTTTAATTTTAAATAAAAAAATTTAAAATATTTTTTGATGGCAGAATGACAAATGAACGATAAAGTGAATCCCGATTTCACAAAGAGGATACGGATAGATCCTATTCCATGATTTTGGGCCACAACAACCCAGTAGGCCCAGTCGATTCAGCTTATGGTTTGGCGTGTATATATATATATATACACACGACATTGCGCGCCATCTGTTTGATGAAATGGCTGAATGAAGTAGGCTGCCATAACTGATCTGAATTCGCACTCTGTTTGTTTGGTGCAGTTTTGAAATTTGAGAGGTGAGATGATGAGAAGGCAGGGGCAGGGACGGGGACGGGGACAGGGACAGTATGGTGATTCGGGTGCGAATGCGTATGCGGCCGGTGCTCCGATGCATCATATGTCCGGTCAAAGGATGGAGCACACGTCTAGTGATTTCGAAGGAAGGATGGAAGCTTTCACTCCACCTCCAGAGACGGACAATCCATTTGCAACTTCCAAATCAGACGGCCAATGGAGATGGGAAAGAGATGGATCAATGGGGTCAAATCCACTCACATCTCATATGTACAATGAAGGTAAGTACTCTCTCTCTCTCTCTCTCTCTCTCTCTCTCTCTCATATACATATACGCTGGGTTTGTTGTGACATGAATTGCTAATTCAAATGTCGAAATCTTGTTACGTTTTTGTGTTGGTTAATGGGTATAAGTCAAAATATAATCTAGATTTTAAATTAACAACCATATATTTTGTTGTTTGAAGTTCATTTTATGCTCCCGGAATGTAGTTCACAAGGGTTTTGATTTTTCCAGACCTCCATAAAAGAGGTTGGTTGTATGCCTTTTGTTTTATTTGCTAACTGCAAAACTTGATGACTTTGGCTAGACCTCTCACTCTTCTCACGAATTTGATGGAGCAATACCTGTAAACTATGCTGTGACGCTCAAGGTAGGAAAGGAGAAGCACCTAGGCAGGGTTCTTTTTACAAGAATCCAGTTATTCCTGTTATGAAGAAATCATACCATAATTGTTATGATCCTGAGTCTTATTGGACAAGGAAAAGGAATCTCTTGATACTTGTCCCCTGTTTCTTGTTGAACTTGGTTCCTAATAAGAGATAGTTATAGACTTTCCTTTACAGGATATCTCTGGTCCTCAAGGTGGATTGCTCCGAAGAAACTCTTTTTCCTAATCTGTGTCCGTTACGAAAATTAGCATATAGTCTTACTGATACTGCTACATCATTTTGCCTATTTCTGGGTGCCGTGCCGTTAAAAAGTGTCCACATCTATCTTTAGATTGGCCCCTATACCAAAACACCTCATGACAGTTCTACTTTGAGGACTCTTCTTACGGTGAGACATAAGTTCTCATTTCTTAGTGACGATTGATTATTCAAGCATCCCAATGAATTGAGAACGTAGCTACCTTTCTCCTTCTGCCATCTTCATCATGAATACGGAAGTAAGGATCTTCATTTGCCTCTTTTTCCTGACTGTACTAAGATATCATGGACAGCTCGAGCAGCTTTGTAAATCTAGGGATAGTTTGTGGAGGCATATGCCTAAACTAGAAAGGGTTGGTCCTGACAGAGTGAATTGGAACACGTGATAATAGTGAGTGTCGTCTTCTCCTAATAATTCCATTTTATTCTGGGAAAGTGATAGTAGGCTGCATGGAATCGATTTTCCCATTGAGCATCTTGGAGTTAGGGGTTGAAAACTTATGTTGTGAGAGGGTGACTAGTTGATCCAATAGCCATCCTGTAACATCAATTATGGTAAAGTTTGGCCTTTATATCCTCTCAAATGTTACCCCATCCCCTTCACCATTTATTCTGAATGGTCCCTGGAGGCTCTTTCATCACTCCGTATCTATCCTGGACACATGGACAAAGAGATCCTGGTCACTGGCTGCTCTTTTTCTTAGTCATCTGGGCTTACGGGCTCTTTTGCTTCTCCAATCTGTCCTGGAGCAACTTGTTCTCCGGGAATGCTCTTGGGTTAGAGCTCATTTCTTTCGGCTAAATGCTTTTTCCGATGGGCCTCAATAGCTAATATAGCTACATCAGTTGGCCTATTTTTGGTGTTTGTGCCGGCAGCAGCTCTGCTCATATTAACTTTCCGTAGGCCTCTTTTTTTGCAACTCTTCATGTACTCCGTCCTAGACTTTAGCAAGATTCAAACTTAGTTTTATTCTATCTAATTCCTGGGTTGCATGATTTGTCGTTTAAGCTCTCAGGTGTTGTCTTGAGCTAACTCTTCAACTATTTGTTTAATCAGCTAATTTGACCATATAGTTTAATCTGTGGTAGTGCACATAAGAGATAAATGTTGCCATGTTAGAAACATAAATAGTACATATGTACCTCAGTTTAGGAAAATAATGAAACTGATCCTGATGTTTGGGGAGAGGGTTTGGGATTGATGATATGGCTTTTATTAGTTAAAATTAATGCTTGTTAGTAAATACTGAGGAAGAATTATGGTTGAGACACATAATTCCAGGAAATTTTGGAACTCAACAATGGTAAAACAATGGTTGATTTACGCTTCTTTTGGCTCTGCGTCATATTTTAGATGTCACATTCCCATCATTTTACGGTCAATTGCAAATGTTATAATATAGAAACTCCCACCTGAGGCAGCTGGATTAGGTGCTCAGATGAGGGCCTCTAGGTGATGATATGCCTTATGCTTTCCTGGTTGATGCTTAGTTCACATACTTGGCTTGCAGGTCAAGGAGGTGATACATCAAGATCCTATTTCCAAGGTCAAAGGACTGATTCAAAACATACTTTGGAGAAACAGAGCAACAACGATTCCCGATCTCAACCTCTTAATGAGGAGATGGACCTTGTATATGAGGACAAGCCTTCGTCGCAGACTTTTGAAGATCTTGAGAAGAAGTTCCTTGATGACATTAGAAATCTAGCCAAGGAACAAAGTGATGCGGAGAATGCGGAATATGCTAGGCATAGAGAGGTTAGTTTATATTTAATATCTGGAAGTGAATTTGCTTTTATATTTATGCCTTGGATTCCCGATTTGCTTTATTTGGGTTTTTGTGGTATATTTCCCAACCCCCCTTTTTTCTCTGAAAACAAACATATTTTTAATTTATCAGGAAAAGTAAAAGTGCATGTTCTATTAGTTAGCCTTGTCTTAGTGTGCTTACCTTATGAACTCATCTTTAAACACAACTTGAACATTCACCTAGTCATTTTCCATTCAAAATCTATTTCAGGAGTCATAAAACATAAAAAGAAACTGATGTTTCAATTGCCATAATGTGCCCCAAACACAAGCAAGCGATCATGGGCATGACTAACCCAAGCAAAGCTAGGCTTGTGCATTGCAAGTGTGGCCCCCCATGAAGCACCGATTCGTAACCGGGGTGACGAATCGCATACGGGGATGTTTTCGATTGGCCACTGATTTGCGAATCACTGAAACAACTACTTCCAATACGCGGCTGGTGCTCGCAGAATCGCCTGTGAGACGGCTGCGATACGTTTGAGCCTATCCCACTCTAAGTTAAGTTACCCAATCCCTATTAGAATTAATCTTTAGGGTTGTTATTTGATATTTTGTTATGTTATGTGCTTTGGATTTGAATCATTCAGTTGGTCAAGATGATATATTTTATTTTATTTTTTAATTTTATTTTTTAATTAACGTCTCCATGCCGTCCCCATGTATTGAAATTTTGTGTTTTCACGAATCACCAAATTGAATCATATCGTACCAGTCCCGTACCCGTCTTCGTGCTCCCTAACAGCCAAGCAGATAAACCGTTTGATATTCCTTTTTGAACCTGATTTAAAGTGGTGGGAGAGATGAAGAGTAAATGCAGATTGAATTAGCTTTATCAAGGCAATTATTAAATGAAAAAGAATTTTAGTGAAACTATGACATAAATTAGGTGAAAGATATTTCATCGTCTCTGTTATTATCTTCAACTTTTGATTTTATTGTTTCTGTCTTATTTCTGCCTGTATGGTGATCGACTGATAGATTGCTGTGAGATTTTTTTTTATATTTAATTTGTATTTTTTATTTTTTGGCTAGATGAGAATTTTACCCGAATTTTATGAGGTTAACATGCCTATAATTGACGTATATTTTTTGACTTCATGCTCATCCAATCCTTTCCTTCCTTTATTAATAGTTTTGGGATTATACATGTGTAGCTTTGTTGTTATCAGGTTAGGAAATAATGTTGCTTAAGTAACAGATTGAGCCATAGTGGATAGTAATTTTCGGTGCTTGATCCTGTAACAATCACTAGCTGGAACCTTGATACCTGTACGGGTTATCTTTTGCTTCAAAGCTTATTTTCACTGTTTTAGAACAGGTATCTTTTTTCTGCAAGTCCTAGGGATAGAACTGCCAGTTAACTCCCCCCTTTCCAAATCCATTTAAAACTGAGTACAGTAACAAATGCTTTTTATGGGATCTGTTACTGTTTGTATGTAAGTTGAATTAATTGGTCCAAATGGAAGGAGAAACAAGGAAATTCAGAACTTCATATACATACATTTGGACGCCGATTATAGATTGCTGAACCATTGCTATTAAATTCTTCCGGGGCAGTAAAAGTAGCAAAACCTGAATGTCTTTTTACTATTTGGAATGTGAGAGCAAACCTTTATGACACATCATTGCGAAACTAGCTCATATACAGTTTTCCTGGATGGGTCTGGATATGTGTGCTTGAGACTTCTTCGGACTTAGATTTGTGCAGAAGTTCTTCATGGATGGTATTACTCTCCTTTTCATGTTTAGTAATTCTCCTGTCCTTTTTTTCCAAATAGAGAAAACTCAAAAGCCATCATTTGAGCCCCAAACTCAGGGTTTAGATATATTTGAACATGGTTAGGTATTCTCTGATGCCCTACGAATCAAACTTATGCCTTGTGAAAGTATATTTTCCATCTACTCACCAGATGTATTTCGGATTATAGTTAGTTTTCTCAAGTCACTAAAACTGGACATGGCTGTGGCCACCACTTCCGAAACCATAGAACTGTTCTTATTAGAGGTTGCAAAGTGTGGATAACATGTACTTCTGGCAATGACATTTCTTTTCCTTGGATAGAATACGACCTAAAAGGTTTCAATGTTTTGCGTGTTCTTTCCTTTTTCTCACATCCTATCTTTAACTGAGGACGAGGATTTATTTCATGCTTTTATTCCATGTAGATAGATAATAGATGTTCATTTGTCTTTGTTATTTGTATCTTACATGTAAGTGCATCGTGATGGGTTCTCAGAAAATTGGCGCTGTCAATGCTCAATACCAAGAACAGCTAGCATCACTTCGGTCACGGCATGCTAAACTCAGAGATGAATTACTTGAGAGGGAATCAAATGCCCGACGACATCAATACCAGCAATCCGTGATGGATCGTTACCCGAACAGCAGCATGGTCCCCTCTGATCATCGTGGGTACAGTGGACCTGCAGCCTCGGCTCCTGTTGGCGAAGCACGCCGAGGCTATAATACTGATCAATATGATTCATACAATGAGCGAGCTCGATTTCTTGGAGGTTCTCGGGATCATGGGTTTGAGTCTAGAGGTCCATATCCCGGTGGCCGAGTCTATGATACCGGGTCACGGTACTACTGATTCAGCGTGTATTTGGTCAGGCAGCTTAATATACTAGTAAGATATTAACTGTGATGATGTTTTAACTAATTTTGCAGTGTCATTTTGGTATGATGTTTTCCAGATGCTGCTATTTGATGTCTAGCAAATAGATTCGAGACTAACCAATCATCCCCTCTCAGTGGCCCAAACGTATTGAGAAGTAACATATCCCCTTTTTTTTTCTTTCCTTTTTTTTTTTTTTTTTTTTTTTTTTTTTTTTTTTTTCTTTTTTTTTCTCTTCTTTTTTTTTTTTGGTGTGTGGGATCTTTGGTTTTTTCTTTCACGGGGAAGCACGTAGTTTTCTAATTTTATAGTTGGGAGATTTTCGTATCTTTTTATTTTTATTTTTATTTTTTATTTATAGAAAACTAATGAAAAGAGTTGGAAATTTTTGAGTTTTAACGCTAAAGATAAAATAAAGAGTAAAGTGAATAGTATTAGGATTGACTAAATGAACAGTACCAGGAGTTTTTCTTTAAAGTTTCTTTTTTTTTTTTCTTTTTTATGGCTACAATACTTATACATATACAAGCCCTTTAAGGGAAGGGATTCGTATTTTTTTTTTTTTTGAAAAAATAGGGATGGGGCCCAGACAATTCAAAGACAATTCAAACCATCTATTTTGAAAGTATCGATTCATAAATTATCTTTGCAAAAATTAAATTAAATCTAAAATCATTTGCTTATTTAATTATCATGATGAAATTTCAATGTTTCTTAGAGAACAAAGTGTTCGTTAATTTTTTTGAACTCATTTAGATGCCTAATATATTATTGATTTGGGTAATATTTTGTAAAGATGATTTATGAGGTGTAACTTAAAAAAATAGATGGTTCGGATCATCGAAGTTCAATTTGGTGTGTGCCCTACAACTAATCTCTATTTTTATAAAAATATGAGGATATTTTACCTTAAAGGCTTCCAATGCATATATATCTAATCCAATTACCATTTCAACGGTCGGATAGTGATTCTTTCACATGAATTATATTTGATTGTCAAATGATGATTATACTAAATACATGTAAATATTGTAGCCAATCTCATATTTTAATTTATTCTTTCCTTTTCTTTTGGTTAAAAAAATGAGTGATGCTACAGACACCAAATTTGTGTGATGTGACACATTTTACATTATATAGGCACATTTGAAACTGATTTTAAAATGGTTGAAAAAGCTTTTGGTGAAATTTTTTTTTTTTTTAAAACTAATCGTTAGTTAAAATGCAAATGAATCATGAAAACCACTTAAAGTACTTCTTGCAAGAAGCACATAATGGATTCTTCTTGTAGGAAGCACTTCAAACTGCTTTGGAATCTAAAAACATTTTCTCTAAAAATACTTTTAGTCATCTTAAAAGAACTTTTGAACAAGCCTTATACTCTAAACGGTCATCCTCTTTCCACTTTGACCTGATAATTTTCTGCAAGACCCAATAACACATCATGAAACGACACTAAATAACGGGTTTTGTGTCAACACGTTAATTAATTGGGTCATCCGTTAATAATGGGTTCTAACATATTTACTGGCGAGAAACCTGTTGAGAAAAAAATTAGTTTGATAATTTTTAACTAAAAAAACCTTACTAGTTACCAAAATAGCTAGTATTTAATATCACATAAGTAAGATTAAAAAAATTCCAAAACAAATTTATAATATCAACGCAACTTAAATATACAAAAGCACATTAAAAAAATCTTAATAATTAATTTACTAGTATAAAAAAATGCGAATGCTCATGATCTCTGTGACATCCCACATCACCCAGGGAAGTGATCCTTAAATGTATATTCTCATCCCTACCTAGCACGAGGGCTTTTGGGAGCTAATGGCTTTGGGTTCCGTTGGAACTCCGAAGTTAAGCGAGAAGGGGGCTAGAGCAATCCCATGATGGGTGACCCACTGGGAAGTTGCTCGTGAGTTCTCAAAAACAAAACCGTGAGGGAATGGTAAGCCTAAAGTTGACAATATCGTGCTACGGTGGTGGAGCGGGCCCGGGTACTAGTCCTGCCCAGGCCGGGATGTGACAATCTCATCCTCTATACTTTAACGATGTGCACATCATCGTTTAGATTTTTAATACCCAACAATAGGGAGTCAAAGCTTTCCATCATTCAGCAGAGGAATAGTTCCATGGTATTTATCATCCAACCATTAATTGGATTTTCTATCATGATAAACCATGATTTGAGCCTATCTATGGCTATAACTATGTGATTCTATAAGCTAACAAACACTCACGAATAGTATTTCTGTGGATTCCAACATAAATAAAAATTCATAATAATTAATGCACAAGTGTGGAAATATGAAAAGAATATACAAACGCTCGTGATTACATTCGTTATGCTTAGATAATAGTTACATCGTTGTTTAGACTTTTAAAACCTTCCAAACTCTCATGAATAGTGTTTTTGATTGAAGGCAAAATTAATGAACATTCATAATAATTAATGTAGAAGTGTGAAAAAGGTAAATAATAAAAAATACAATGACTCGTAATGACAAACTTTACAACTTTCGTGAAGAGGTCAACTCTGAAATTCGACACCATAATTCATTAACCCTAGATTTATATTTAATCGTCGATTGTCGTTTACGCTCAACTTTTCTCATTGGATTTCATTTTTTAGATTTTCTTTTTTTAAAAACATGATCTTTTAACAAATGCAGAAAAATGAACGGTTCGAATCATTGGTACCACGTTTCAATAGTTTTAGAGACTTTATAAATTTCGAGCAATTTTCACTAACTGTAAAAATCTTAACGTGATATTAATGATCTGAACCGTTCATCTTTCTGCATTTGCTAAAAGATAAAAAAAAAATGATAAAATGAAATTCGGTGAGAAGAATGAAGCATAAACGTAACCGACAATCAAGGGTTAAATTTAAATCTATAAGTTATGGGATTATGGTGGCGAATTTCAGAGTTGACCTCCTCACAAAACTTGTAGAGCTTGTCATTATGAACGTTTGCGTGCATATATATATATATATATATATATATATTTTTTTTTTTTTTTACATTCTTCACAAAACTTTTATGTTTTGAAGTAATAATATTCATGTGACAATGTGGTATACAAATACTAATTTAGTATTATATTTTTCATTTGATTATTTATTGAAGTAAAATATATATTTTTAATGGATAACGGGTTAGGTTATATTACCCGTTGGTTCAAGTTGGGATGATGTCATATTACCTGTTGATTTTAACATATGTTACACAGCACGATACATTAAGATATCAGGTATGGAATTGAAAACAACATGAATGCGAAAACACGACATGAACTACTTAAGATATCAGGTATGGAATCGAAAACAACATGAATATGAAAACACGACATGAACTACGGGTCTTTGTAGTTTAATTATACTAGTAGCACAACCTCATTCGTATACATGCCATTTATGGTTCCTAAAGCGGATATTAAACGAGGAAGGTGGCCTTTGTTAAATTAAAAGGTAGTAATTTTATACACACATTTTCTCCTTATGGACAATTAACAAAATAACTTCTTGTAATTAATGTAGAATTTAGCCTCTAATACTTGTTCTTGTTTTCTCAAATTTACATTCCATGTCTCAATTTTTTTCTTAGGTTTTATAGACAAAATGGTCTTTAAGATTGGCATAACTCCTCACTTTGGTCCCTGACATTGAAAAATCAATAGAAGTGGTCCCAGAGTTTGTCCACTGTCAATCATTTTATTCCCTTTGTGAAAAATCTCCATTAAATGAAAAAAAAAAAAAAGTGGAGGGATTGACAGGACAAAAATACAATCCAATTAATAATATACACATAGTCATCTACCCTGCAATTAATTTTGGACTAATCACTATATCCTCTTATTAAGTTTATCAAATATTTATTACTTTTAGGGCGCACATCCAACAATTTATCACTCATATCAAATTAAAATTAAATAATCATCAAGCAAAAGTAAAAATATCCCACCTGACAACAACCACCTTTCTCACTAGGATTCTCCCAGCCTAACATGGATTACTATCCTTACAAGGACTTTTCTAATTAATATAAATACACCCCATGTTGGAAATGCCCTAAAGTCAAACATAAGATCATACCTTACAGACTTTTCACACATTAAACTAAACTAGTTTAATACAAGGGCAAAAAATTATTGTTTAAAAAGCTATCTCAGTAAGTGTTATACCCTTAAATGATAAGTCCAAGGAATATGTAATTAAGAGAATCTGATCTTAAAAATTTAGATTCATGAGACCTTTCTCTTTCATACACATATTCTAAACGGTTATGATTATAGGACAATCAGGCATTGGTAATCCAGATAGATCAAGTACATACTATATCTTCTCTCCCTAGAGAGTGATTGGTCTCAAGTCATCTGTGTGAATGACACCAAGACAAGTACGTAGATGGTCAATAGAGAGTTAGTCCACTGAATGTGATCAACAAGGAGTTCTCATACTCATGTCACAAGAGAACTCATATTTGAGATAGTGCAAAGGTAGTCATTTGACCTCAGACATTATAGTTGTCTTATTGTTAGGTCTTTAGTCTTTGACTGTGTTCAAGTCATTCCATTTGAGGATGTCCACGTTATAGTTGAGGTTAAACTACTTTATTGTGTGGGCATGTGAATGCATAACAAATGATCTCTAACCTTCAAATGTTGAGGGAGAATATTCTATGATATGATTAAGAATCTATGGCCAAAGTGTGCCAAAGTGTGAATGAGATTTAGGAAGACATTCCAAATCACATTCAAGGTAATCATATAGATAAAAGAATCATATTGGATAGAAGATATGAATTAACTATGAACCAAATAATGTGATCAAGTGTCTTGATTTAGAGATGGGCCTTATTGCATTGTAATCCCAAACTGAATAGGTTCTCCAACCTCTTCTGATTAGCTTGGGTAACCATGACATATTGCTAGTGTCACTCATGGTTTGTGGAAGCCCTAAAGATGAATAATCACTAAAGAGAGAATTGAAAGTAAGTTTCAAGTCACAATTGATTAGAACGAGTTCTAATCGTTCACCGCTAGCTAAAAGGAACCTAATGGATCGCACATCGTGTAAGGTAACGATTAAAAGATATAACGAAGATGAGTAAGG